GGATGTACCAAGGAAGAAAAACTCATTAGCTGCTGTCTTATTGGCGTAAGCCGGACTGTAATCAAGTAAGTTCTTAATATTAACGGCGTGATTTGCGTCATTACAATCATACACTTTCTTGCCATTTAGCTTAATATCAAAATAGTTCAAGAATGAGTACGACCCGATTACAATTCCATTATGATCTGCTATTGCAATGTTACCGCCATTAGCCAGTAAGACTACTTTAAAGTCGAGACTGTTTCCAGCATTATACCAGTCAAATGGTGTAACCTCTCCGCTGTTATCAACAAATCTGTAGCCATCTTTCTTTTGGTGAGCATTGTTGGCGACAGTTGTATTTAGTGCTGTTTCTAGGTCAAAAATAACATCTTCATATGATTTTGATTTTGGATCTCTAAAAGAATTCATTATATTAATAGATTAGATAAATCTTCTCATCTGACCCCCGGATGATAATTGATTCACCCTCTCATTAATCTCGTAATCGCTTAGCTCTCTTGATTGTGGATTTTCTATTGGTAACGCTGCTACTGGTGTTTTTGTGTTTTTATTCTTTTTGCTTAATAACTGAATAAATTTATCGCCTGCTTTTTCGCCGGCATACTCGCCAGTTTTGGTAGCAGCTTTCTGAACAGCCCTCTTGGTCGCTGCTTTAGCAGCTTCCTTCATGGTCTTTCCAAACAACTTTCTGCCGATTGTTTTGAAAACATCGGTAACAACACCTTCACCATAAATGTGCTTCTTAACATACCTCCCCGTTTTAACATCATAACTTTTCTTAAATTCTGATTGTCTCATTGTATATTATTAGGTTAGATATTATGCTGGTTTGGATCGCAATATCAATGTCATAAACCAGTCAGTCTCATTTAGACCAATCGGTCGTCCCAGTGAATCTGTGATGTAAAACCTCATTTGTGAAATATCAAGCTGCGAAACTTCATTAAACAATAGCCTTCTTGGTTCAAAAGCGAATGGGAAGCTTCTTGTCAAATTGTCAGTTGGAATAACAGCTAACGTATTAGTATTAACACCATTCAATATGCTCGTCATAATAGCATCGGCATTGATATAAATCATGTCAATGCAATTTGTGATATTAGGTACATTACCATCCCCATATTCTATTTTCTTCACAATTTTCTCTGTAAATCCAATTAACTCGCCAAATTTACTATTTCTCATTTTTCCTGCTTTTAGGAATACTGAGTCTCTTGAATCTTTCTATATCCATTATACTGTACTATTGTGTTATGTAAAACTTATCTCAACTTATCTTAACTTATCTCAAGTTATCTAACATAATAGTATATGGATATTCCAAATTATGATTTCAATGAAGATGAAAATACAAACTTCGAACAACTGTATAAGTATATGCCCAAATCCAATTTTAGGATGCTAATTTGTGGCAATTCAGGGTCGGGTAAAACAAATCTACTTTACCACATCCTTATGAAACCATTAGTCTACTATGATCAGATCCATTTATACGGTAAGAACTTGGAACAGGAAAAGTATCGACACATGATAGAAAAAATGAATGACATTAGTAGCCAGGTTGGATATGACATAATGCATTGCAATAATGATGACATCAAACCTGTAAATAGTCTGGAGAGCGATGCCCAGAAAATTGTAATATTTGATGACTTCATTTGTGATAAAAACCAAAAGCTGCTTATCGATTATTTCATTCAAGGCCGTCATAAGAACTGCAGTGTTATTTACCTTTCGCAATCATTTTATAAAACTCCAAAAGATATCAGACTAAACTACAGTCATTATGTTATTTATGATTTCCCGAGCAGTAATGAGAGAAATATGATCTCTAGAGAGCTGAATGTGACAAAGGATCAATATATTAAAGCAACAAAACAACCATACTCATTCCTGTATGTTGACAAACCAATGAAGACTGTCAAAAGAAACTTTTTTGGGAATATATAATGCATTATCCTTTCTCTTGTAGATAATTATATAACCAATAATATATGAAGGTACATTTGAAATTCAAAAGTCTCTAATATGCTCTAATGGCAACTGAATTGTTGTATGACCTCCATCCTGTAATATTGAAAGATATGCTAGATATGAAACGGGCTCTTGGTTCAATTCTTGGACAAATTATCCAACCAAATCAAATAACCTACGAGCAAAGAGAACAACTTACAGTAATATAATCTATTTATATGGAAGTATATCTAGAAATTGAAGATGTCAAATATGGTAGAATGATTGCTGAATTATTTGAAAATCTATCAGAGGGTTGTTTATATGAACTTCTTAATCACAAACATGGATCTTTAGAACAAGCTCGGATTATTGGCAGAGTTATTGGAATGGATGATCCAATTACTAATGAAGAAGCCAAGCTGTTAAAAGCAAATGGATTTTGTGTAAGGGACATAACTGAATAATAAAATAGTAGTGGATGAAAATATCTAATGTACTATTATAAAATGGGAATATTTAATCAGCAACCTAGTTATAATCAATTATACTCAAAAGGAAAACGAGGAATTACTGGCCCTCAAAGACCTCCTGGCCCGTCTGGCCCTGAAGGTGCTCAGGGTATTCCTGGCCCTGCTGGTGCTCAGGGTGTCCCTGAACCTACTGGCCCGCCTGGCCCTAAAGGTGCTACTGGTCCTACTGGCCCTAAAGGTGCTACTGGTGCATCAGGCACTGGTTTCGATCTCACATCAGATGGGAATTACGATAAGCTAGCAAAAAACTAACAGTGGTGGCTAAGGGAACTGATTCCAATGATGCCGTAACAAAAAATCAACTGGATACTAAACTATCACTCTCTGATGGTTTAATGATAGGCAATTTGGATATGAATAATAATAGGATATACAATGTAGCACAACCAGATGGTGATAACCAACCAGCTACAAAAATATGGTCAGAAAATAAATTTCTGGATAAGTCCAGTGGAGTAATGGCTGGACCACTAAACATGTCCAATAATAAAATTACCGTTCTTGCTGATCCCACAGCCGATAAGGATGCTGTATCCCGTATTTACGGATACAATGACTGGTAATTTAGCATTAGGTGACAATTATATAACTGGATTAAATTCAAAACAGACAGATTATGATACAAATCAGCCCAATCTACGACAAGAAATCATTGATTGGAAAAATGTTAAATGGGAAGATAGAACAATGGACAATATATGATGGCTATGCCACACCATTTTATTTTATGAAACAACTACAATTGGTTTGGTTGTTAATGAATGATAAAGATTATGCTACAATAAACGCGTTTCAAGTATTAACTAATAAATCGAGACAATCTCCATCGTCTGAATCCCAAACAAGTAATAAATATTTTAACCTATTTGGTATGACTGCCACAAATATGGAAAACCCGACTGATGCTACTGATGGGGTTAACCTAAGAACATTGACCTGTCGGTCCAAACGCAAAAAACTGAACAGTCAAGTGAAGGACATGGATTAAGACTTTCTTTAAAAATGTTTTTATTTTTCTCTCGGTAGCTATTAACTGCTATGTTATGTAGGCCAGTAAATATTTGTAGTGAGAATAGAACGTTATTTTCGTTTGATTATTCGTGTGTCATTTTCTAATGAAACTACATCTTATTTATAAACCTTATTGACACTTTATCCGCAAATTTTGTTTTAGAATCGCGCAAAACGCTTAAGACCCACATAATTAACATTCTCAAGAAATTTAATACTCATATACGTCTACATGGGAAATTCAAATCAAGGAAGAAAATGGAGAAACATGTGATAATAAAAACTATCAGGACCGGAATCGACATGGGAGTTTCCCCACGTCTAGGGCACAAAATTTAGTTGCATAAATACACGAAGCTCTTACTTCGAGTCCGACGTGCGGTCACTAAGCGCTTCTTGCGCTATTTACAATATTTTTATTGTAAATAGCCTGCAAATGCAGGCGTTCTTCGGGTCATGCGGAGGGAAACCACAAAAGTGGTTAATCTGGTTAATCTGGTTTAATACGTCGTAATACGGGTGGGGGAGGGTACAATTTTCGAGGAGGCTTAATTTTGGGAGTTCAATTTTGAAAATGTACAAAATGAGACGGGGTAGAACTTTTAAGACGCAGGAGTGGTCTTCTATGTAAAAGTTGTCAAACTATATTATGATTTAAGCAAATCCACGTTGGCTATGTACATACACAAGCACAAGAACGTTTGATCTTGATGGCGTTGTAACAGAGTTTGCCCGTCTGAAGGGTACACGTCTCGCCCTGTGCTTGTAACCTCCTTGATAGCTTCACTGTTTTACCCTTTGTTCCCTTGACACTGCACCTTACCGATAACACTAGAGATGGGTAAAATAAACAACTATTTACTGCATTTTCTTTCGTTCATATTTACTGAAAACACAGGAGATGATATTTCCGAGACCCTAAATTTAAACATTTTCTGGTGGAGCACGCACCCAGGACCCTTAAATTTGGAGCGCCTTCGGCGCCTTAACTTTTCTTCCCGTGCGCACACCTTCAAAATCTCACACAACGCCCTTGACTACCGGTATCTTATCGCTAATGAAATCATTGCCAAAGGAAGGAAGAAGAGAAAAACTGATTATCTTAAAACTTGGTCTAGAATGGGTTGGGGAGGGGGTGCATTTTAAATATTGTTATTGCCAATTGCCAAGGGAGTACAACTTTTATATAAAGTTGCCCTGGAGGAGTGAAGTTTTGATAAGCACACTTTTCTAAACCCCCTCCCGCCCCTCCGCGACGGGGGCGACAGGATTGGAAATGTGAGCCTGACCGTGGAAAATGAGGGGTGATGAGAAATGAAACCTTTAAAAAAGTTCTATTTTGGGTGAAAAATGAAAAATATATATTAGTCATTTAGCAGCTTCATGAAAGTAACCACCGGGTTTGTTTCTATGGAAAAGAGACAGTGCCAAAGCTGTCAATTGCTAGTTGTTACTATCGGAGAGTACGAGAACAAAACTGACCAAATACATCGTTCAAACACGAATTCTTGATCGCCCACACTCGCTGATTTTTTTTTTTTAACTTGAAAGTATTTATTTTTAAGTTTTTGATGCGAATTTGATGTAAATGAACGAGAAAACAAATCAATCAATAACAGTTCCTTGTCGAGAGACCGGGTCGAATAATATATTGGAAAGATTTCGACTGCTGCCGATTAAACTAAGTCTGTTGTTTTTTAGTTCAAACATTTGTGTTGGGAACCTTAATTTGCTTCCTTGTCGTCGCAGCAAAGGCAAAAAAAACCACATCCATGGGCCAGGCCATCTCAGATGTACCAGTAAGAGGGACCAGCTAAGAGTGATAAAAATTTGAAGCTTAGTTGGGGGTGAATACAAAAAGTTATGATAGCAAATCGGAAAGAGTAGCTGTCTTGTATATTTTAGGAGCTAAAATATCATCAAAATTCGCTTCTGCATGAAAACGAGGCTTGTTTCTAAATTTTGTTTTTAGATCTGCACATGTTGATGTGACATTAGCCTATTAATGAGGCCCTGTTGGGGTAAAGTTCCTATAAGCAACATGGCCTTGAAAAAGCGACATAAGAAAAGGTGAAATGGTGACAAACAACATAAGGATGCATTAAATACCAACAGCTGACAGGAACATGGCTTACTGCTCAATACATGAAACGAAAGAAATTCGAAATTCTGACAAGGGAAATACTCTCCCCCTCCCACACCCATCGCCTCAGTGGTGGGGTTGTGGTGCAGCTGGAATTAAATCCGAAAAATACTTCCTACAGATGGTTGTGGATATTGCATGGCATGCACATGGCTTGGAATTTTAAATGGCTATTTTTTTCTGTGCTGGTCAGTTTCTCTCACTCTATTACTCTGTATCTCTGAGAGAAATAAGGTGCTACTCACTGACTTTTATTAGCCGTTAGAGCGAAATGTATGAAGAACAAAAAATATCACAGCTTTCATATCATTTGATTAAATGTTTTATTACAGCAACAGTTAAGCAACTGTAAGATTGATTCCATTTTTCCTGTAAGAGGTAGCTTACTTAAGCTCTTTTAACTAATAATTTATTGTTGTTGTACATTGTTCATGCCCCATCACACTGTATTCCAAGTACCAGTAATACAAAAACTGCAGAATATATACAGACTCGGTAGCAAAAATAAATTATATAAAATCTTTTCGATGTTGGGCAAATAACCCTTAAATAATCAATATTATACAACGTGTACAGTACTAGTGCGGCTATAATGACACAATTTGTTTACAATTTTGTACCTTTAATTACTAGATAAATAATGTTCTCAGCAGCTAAGCAGAGAGGATGTAAGAAGGCATTGGAGAAAGAATGACATTGTTGATTTTTACAAATTTAAATAAAAGTTACCCACCCATTATTATTTAAGAGTGAGGTCGTTTTTTGATGATTGGAATCAGACTAAAGATACCATACCAGCATAAATAGGTACTTAAGTAATAGCAAAAAATAATAATTTTCTCCTGTCCTAAAGACTTGCGAGGAGGTGAGAGAATGTACATGTACATGACTGTATAGGTTTGTGATTCAGGGGATAAGGGATTATAAAATAGTTTTGTCAAAACTTATCCCACATGATGCTTACATTATTCAATTTGTTTTCAGAACAAAATACATTTACCCTTGAAATCACTAAGTCACTCAGATGTTTCACTACAAGTGTAGCTACATTTCATTTCAATCCACTCATGCTCTGGGGCAAAATAGGTCAAAAAAATACTTGTCTACCCAAAGTTTGAACCAAGAAATATATGTACAAATTTTAATACATATTATTTTAACATATCAAAAGATCAGTGTGCTTAGAAAATAAAGGACGTTGTTTTTCACTGTGGACCAGTTCTATGGGAGTTGAAGCTCGCCACCTATTTGCCTGTAAACAGTGATGTATTTCCAAGTACGTGTATTAAAACTAACTCTGATTTCTTCATCTCTATCCCACCTTGAGTAATAAGGTACATTGAAGTCAGTTCGTTGCTTTGCAAACCTGTCTACACTGACATCAGCTCAATCCGGTGTGAGCCAACATTTTTTAAAGGCTTACTTGCTACTTGTTGATAATTCCACTAACATGCTAGTCATGGAGTATTCAGTGTTATGCGCATTCCATATTTTTAGAACCCATGCTAACATTTGTAAATGATGAGACGGGACGTTTGGTTGATAATGCACTAGGTACCCTTGTCATCTCGACATCTACAAGAGAGGGACAATTAAAATTAACGTTACTTTCAAATAAGCTACCTCAAGAAAAGTAAAATTTATTATAGTTATACATAGTACAATATAGTTGTAAATTAAAGTCTCATTTAATTTCGAAACTTGAAAAATTGTCACGAAAATTTCAATGCAGGTTCTTTATTGTCATGATTACAGGTATTTACAGCTGTACTTTGTTTAAAAATGAGCTATTTGAAGATCATGGTGTACATGGATGAGTAATTTTTGCGATAAAAGTTAACATTCACAAATCACAACATTCTGACCTCTATGAGGTGATTTTCAAGTTTGAGGAAAAAATATAAAGAAATTATTTTTTTGTTATTCGCCCTTGAAAATGAACTCAAAGAGATCTTAACGTAGTGGCTTCTTTATGTCTTTATGTTGAACATGTGATCTCTTTTTAACTCCAATTGATGAAAGTTACTTATAGGTACCTTACTCAGAGTAACAGCCTGCCAAGGATATTGTGTCCAATAGCTCATAGATAGTGGATTTTGCTATCAGGCTAGTGAATTCTGTTCTTAACTTGCCCGACAGGCAAGAAAAGTTGTTTTAGGGAATTCAAATTACGGAAGAACTGTGTTCAATCCTGCTCATCAAAAATTTTTTTGGGCTCAGAGTTGAAATGACTGTTGGGCTAGTACATGCTGGCTATAGCTTTCCCGAATGGCAAGCTGTAAAACTGACTTTCTATATATGCACCTTGTATAAGAGTGGATGAGTGTTTGGTACTTACTAGCTTTTTGCTTGCTTCTCTGCATTCTGTATAGCAGCATGGTTACGCCTCCACCAACTAGCAGCCCAACCACCAATATAATGAGACATATTCCAGCAAAGAAGCCTTTGTTAATCAGCAGGTCATCTGCAGTCAAATTGTCTAAGGAAGAACAAGATAAAGGTCAAATGAATAGGCACTTGCAACCTACCTGCAAACATCTAACATTTACATAGTGCTGTTGATAGTGTTATTGTTATCTTCAAGCATAACATTAAAAATTGTACTGATAAAATTAAAAGCCTCTTATAGCTTCACCCAGCAGAGTAGTTTAATTATGAGTGACTGGCTTGTTGAGCACAGTGCCCTGAGTTCAACTCAAAGGTCAAACTCACCTTTGCTTGCAGGTAGAAATTGCCAGGCACAAACATTTTACAAGGAAAACTCACTACTCTGGGCTACTTGCTCGGCAACCATTTACACAAAAATCAACAAACAAATTGGGTTATCTAGACAACACCTGTAACCTCAGCAAGATCTCACAATACAATCACCTCAAATAAACTGACTCTTAAATGTCAAATTTATATTATTATCATCTGTTTTCTCTTGTCTAATGCTTAACAAACCATTATTAATAATACGCCAGGTGATTTTTGTTTATTTATTTACATCAAAAAATGCATACCTCCTGTTCTGCTTTCTTTGGAAGGGAATTCTGGTGGAGCAAAGAAGAAAAAAAAACAGTTTTAGCCCCCAACAAACGGATTACAGACTGTACTGGTAAGAATAATATGAAAATACGTATGAAATCATTATTCAAAGCATCAAGCAGGGCTGTCTTCTAGCAGTCATAACTGCTAGCCTCAGGCAACTAATAGTTTTTGCTTTTGAACAACAAGAAACTTTTCCTTGCTCTTTCAAAAATGGAAATTAACTAAGGATACTGGATTCCCAGGCTCATTGTAAACAACTCAGATCTTTGAACCACACCTAGCTATTAATTTTGCTATTTTTCTCAGAGCACATCTTAACCACTGAGAATTCTACGTTTGTAAGTTGAAGGACCAAAGATATGTAGCCTTATTAATATGAATAAGTACCTGGCTCTCCTTCAGTTGTAACAGTAGAACCTACATGTAAAAAGTAAAGAAAAAAAATTTTGAGATTAAAACAGACCAACAAAACCAGCTAATTATGCCAAAAATCTACATTAAGCCAATCCCATATGATTAGTGATTTTAGGCTAAAAATGTTGGTCCAACCAGAGCATTCTGACTAACTTACAATGTACCTTTGGTATTACTGTCAAAATAGATTGGAACACTGTGAACGCCTGATTGAAATATTCCAGGACTGCTGATTGTTTTGGCCACAATTATTGTCAAAAAAGATCAAAACATATCAGCAGACTTCATGCTTGCAGTTAAGTTTTCTTACACCTGATTGGCTCTTTCCTTGCAATACAAGCCAGAAATACAATGTAATGGGTTTATAACAGTTTTCTAAGTTTCACAGTAAATACAACACCTGATCCTCTACACCACAGACAAGTACACTGCTGTACCTACAAGAACGTTTACAATTGCTACTCACATGAGTTGCCCCTGCAGCCCAACACTTGAGAAGCTTTTGTTGTGCAGGCTCGTTCAGCTTCACCAATGCAAGGTAATCCACCATTCTCTGGATAAGGACTGTTACATTTCCGACTTTGAAGGCCGCCACCTGTACACTCACTCCAGTCAGACCAACCACCATGCACAACTACAGTGGAAAAATACCCAACATTAGATTAAAATCCCATAATTATGTACAATTTTGTCAAGCACTCCCATCAATTTTATGGTTGAGCCAGCCGCACCCAGCATGGCAAGAATTGATTTGGTTCAAAGCCAAACCAGCCAAAGTTTCAGAACCTGACAAATCCATTTCCTTCTGCAACAACTGGCACAGTCGTGGCAGATTATAATATTATTACTGAGAAAAGAAACAAAAGAATAAAACAATACAACTTAACTTTTTGGCTATTTTGCTAATTGTTTTTGTTTTAATATTCTATGCCACAACAAGCAGAAAGGATTCATTTATAGGGACCCAACAAGCCCAACCCCATCAAGTGCTTTAATTTAGAACAACAAAAGAACATGGGAGAAGTTCTTCCGGAGATATCTTGCCCAAAATGCAGTTCTTAGTACATTTTTTTTAATACTAACATTCTTAATCTTTTAACTCCTCTTTACTTTGTGTGCTTGTACATATTAATTTATAACACTGTTTACACACATAAGCTGAATATTTCACTGAAAACTTCAACTTGCAAGCAACTACAATTTACCTTTATTTCCATGTGGGCACTTAGGGTCATTCCCCTCCTTGCACACATAAATTTTCATTTTCATCTGGTTGTCTTTGCAACGTCCGCCTTCCAAGTTTGTTAATGAGGTAATTAATCCAGATGCTGTATCTGTAAATGAGATGAAACAGTTCATATTTTAAACTGAGTTACAGTGATCACTGTGTACTATATGTAAAATTCTGCTTATTTTAATTTAATAAATTACATAATCAAAATGTTACATGTAGTCATTACAGATGAATCCGTTTGGACATGGAAGGGTCATATCAAAGTGTCAACAATTGAGAAGGTTCCAATTCATCGGGGTCACCTTAATAATATCACTTTTAAGACTCTACTGACAGTTTTAATTGTTTTGATATTTTATCAGAAGCAATACTAAATATTGTATTTGTCAGTCACATACACAGTACAGAATTATTTGAAATAAAACAAACAGCAATGCAACGCTGCACGTAAAAACACTGTCCCTTTTCTTCTCTTTGATTACAATATTTTATTTTAAGGTTGAAATCTAATCATAAACAGGAAATTGTATCATTTTCATACACATACTATCATCACCTGATAACTGTAAAAATGTCAAAGCCCAAAATTGCACAAGCCCATAAATTTGAGCTTTTTGGAAAACACAGGAATGCAAATAAATTGTTGTATGATTACCCTTAACAAATGTATACATGAAAAATTTCATCCCCAAAACACGTTCTCACAAATCATCACAAACCAACCCAGTGTCACACACAACCTTAAAGTGGCCAATAAAGATTGCGGCACCTGATTGGTTCTTACAGTGTATTCCTATTGTTTATTAGCCAATCACAGTGCTCTATTCTCTGAGATGTTTGCTTTATTAATTTTCCTTTTTGCATCATATTTTGTTGATTGATTTTGCATTGTGTTTACTAAAAAATCCATTGCTCTTGAAAGCCAATCAGATTCAAGAAATTTGTTCATGTATATTATATTGAGCTGAAGAAGTATGTCTACCAAAAAACACTTACTTATAAAGTAGTATTCTTCTCCTTTCTCAAATTTAGGGTCATTTTCATTTGCACTCTGTGGCTGAAACACAACTGTTACATGTCTACTTGGCACATCAGGGTTATCACAGGATAAAAGTTTGAGCCCCAAAGTTGCATTGCAGCTGTCAAAACCTTTTTTATCAACCATAAACAAATTCTCATAAAGTTTGTCTTTGGAATAAACATTGTCTCTTTCAATGGGATAGTCCATCAAGTTCGGACACCTTATTGACAGTTTGTCAAATGGCAAAACCTTTCTTGCATTGTTGTTAAGGTGGCTAAACCTAAACGAGAAAAATACAAAAGCATGTCTCATCAGTTCGTATGTTTGCAATTGAATGTACACAAAGAAAACGTGAGATTCAAGAAAACTTGTCACTCAAGAACTTTAAACAATAAACAACAGTTTATTGTTTACCAAGTAATTAAACTTTATGTTTTCAGCAACATTCATGTGATAAAATTTACGGCTTAATAGTTAAGGCTCAATACATGTTACAGTTTACTTTTAGAACATGCACAAACGCGAACATTCCGCTCAGTCTTGAAAGCACTCGGGCAATTTGTCACTATTATTAGTTTCCAAACACTTTTTATTCACATGTTATTTGCTAATAAAACGTAGTAGTACAGTAAATAGCAAAAACGTTTCCACTAATGTAAATGAAAATTTAAGGGAAGCCAACTCATGAGTTTCACTCCACGCACGTGAAGCTACTAAACCTACAAGAAATGTAAGCTTTAGTATGTATGTTGCTTAAGACTAGAGCCAATGAATCCATTTTCATTTACACGACGAAAACAAAGGAGAGATGAGATTTAAGTGTAACTGTAGAAACAATTTACTAGTCGTTACAAAGTGATGAAATTCCAAGCTTTTCTGTGGAATGTCAGCTTAAGCTCTGGTGAAAGTTGATCAACTTCAGCTTACATTATAAATCTCAAGTAACGAGCGTTAAAGCAACCGGCAAAACAGTGACAAGGAACGATCGCAGTAAAAGGAAATGCTTAGACAAAGATGTTGAAATACTCACCAAGGGTTGTCTGGATTCCATAAAATCGAAGGTAATATTTTTGCAACGGTCCCAGGGCACAGCAACCATAAACAATAAACAACAGTCAATACACGACGACTCCGCATCACTAAGCTTATCGCCATCTTTCAATCCACCGCCACACACGATATGATCTTGCCTCTTTACTCTAACCACGCACGGCAGGACGTAATAAAAGAGCAACTTGTCGACGAAGACCATTAACTACTACAAGTACAATTGTTTTAGGAAATACGTCACCTACCACAAAACCACCTCATTTCTTTTCTGCGTGCCAAGCCAAATAACTGCCCCTGGGAGATGACAAAAGCCGGGCTAAGGGGGAGGGGGTAATTGATATTTTCTTTTTCTTAAAGATCTGTTGACACCGGTATCTCTAACACAAAATTAATAGCATGTAAACATAATCGATAGGTTAAAAACTTTTAAACGCTGTTTTATAAAAATATATTCAAAACATCAATAGCAACTCGGAAAAGTGAAATAACCATTTTAACCCTCCCGGTGTCAGTAGCTTGACGCGGCGAACTCCCGACAGAGCGTCTATGACGTAATCCTGCGATGTAATTTGCAATCATGAGCGACAAGTGGGCGCGTCGTGATGTATATCGTAGGATAAAAGTTGAAGCGGATTTCAGTTTGCCGGAAGTACAATTTAATGTCTTTAGCTTTTATAGTTAACGAAAGGCTTCCTCGTGGCGCGATTTCCTTTGTTAACTGGAAAAAATGGCTTTGAAGAACACAAAACGAAGCGAGCTCCCATAACGATGTGCACTGCAGCGTTAAGGCGTGGGCTGAATGAAATCAAGCGACCCGCCGTCACGGCTTCGGAAAATTCTACATCATATGTAAAATTAGTAGGGCGCATACAGACAGATGATCATAAAGCCACAGTATGTAGTAAATTATCTTATGATATGATCTATATGTTATAATGATGGAATGCTCGCGTGCATGCTGAAGAAGTTAAGGTTCTAAAGAGAGGTTAGCTTGTTTTAGTGGTGCCGTGACGCTCCCAAGTGAGTTAGGGATGTACGGAGTTGCCACAGACACGGCATACGACATGAGGCCGCCATTTCATTTCCAAATCGCTTCATCCCATGGTGATGTACGAGTTTATACTGCTAATAATCATAATTTAAACTTGTATCTTTACTGGCTAGTAGTGATCTGCGCCGCGCCGGATATTATCTATCAAAAAGTGCATATGATCTGGACTTAAACCTTGCCATAGCCCTCGAGCCAAAGAACAGAGAACGTTTTACCGCCGATGTTGGGCTTTGGTGCAAATGGCATTCTTTCTGTTCTTTCCTGACTTTCAACTATTCGTCTATCCGCGGTTTTCTTTAGTAAACTGGTAGACTGACTTTTAACTTGGAAGTTGTCCTAGGCTATACCTTCTTAACCTGAGATCATGCCCTAATCTTTAAAAAACACCTGATTGCAGTTTAATACCCTCTCAAGCCTTGTCAGCCTTCGATCTCACTTGAACAAGCAACTGATTTCAGTAGCAACTTCGCTCAGCATTTCGTACAATTTCGTAGCAGAAGCTCTGAGGCGATTGTCTGAAACAATCTTTTTGTGAATGACTATGGGATTACACGGGGGGTTAAGCACTCAAAACTAGGTTCAGAGTTTGCGGACAAGCCAAGCAACAACTTCCTCTTAGGTTGATAAAGGAATTTTTTTGTAACTACCCAACGACTGCGTTCTGTACTGCAATAAAATAAAGACGTCAAAGGGCATTATTCTAGTATTTTATTTGGGATCGTATGTACTCTATCTTTCTCGCCGCATAAAAAAGCCACATTTTAAGTCCTGAAGAATTTCCACTCACAAAACCTTATTTGATAAAGGATAACCAACAAAGCAAATTTCCAACTCACGTCAGTGCGTCTTTTGTTTTTAATTATAGATTTCTATATTTGTCTATCTTTCTTTGTTTCCATGCATTTTTTTGTAAATCACGACCGCATAAAAGATTCAATGAAAAATTGCATTGTTCTTATGTAGGAACGCTGTCAACATCGCCCATATACTATATTAAAACTGACCGACTGCACGTATTCTGTGAAATGTGAAATTCATTATGAAGGCCATTAAGCCAGGTTACTGAATTGAAACAGTGATTTCAAGTGCGATATAACAATTTTAGTCGTTGCTAAAATCCGAAAAGACCAAAAAGTTCGGAGCTGAGATATAATGTCTCTGGGTGGTCTACACTTGACAACGATTACAATTAATCCCTGCCCATTTCTTAATTTATCTGAACTACGAATAATTACACCAGCGTTCCACTATCGAACCATAAAAATTCCTTTTAAATTAGAGCCGCCGAGGGCAAACAAACTCCCTGAAAAGAGATTTATTAGATCGCAAACAACCAGAATATTGAGGGATTAAACGTCCGGTAAGTTCCATTAGAGCCGCCACGGGCCAAACGCCTTGAAAAGAGATTTATTACATGGCAAACAACGACAATATTGAGGCTTTAAAAGGTCCGGCAACAGAGCCATAAAATCAGTTCTTAAAACAAGTGACCCACTCACTTGAAGGAAGGGCGTGTTCGCCCAACAAACCGCATGGTGTTTGTTTACGAAAAGACCCCTTTCAAGGACAGCGACTGATCCAAGAAATTAAACTTAAATAAAGAGCAAAGAACGCTACTGCATTCTTTATGGGCTTAACTTGGAATTTAGAAGAGTAATAGCTTAATTTTGGCAATCACTTTTTACCATCGCTGAAAAGACACAAAAATTATTCTCAAAAAGTAATTTTCTGCCACGTCATACATCAAGCATGCGTACGCGTGTTCATTCCAGAAAGGCACTATGACACGAAGCCGGTAAAAATCGGGACAGATGAAAAAGGCAGGCAGGTTGCTAACAATCCTTCAAGCAAATCAATGAAGATTAACGCAAGTCTTTCTTCTGTTTCAAAGTCTCACTATTGCTTTTGTTTGTTGGTTTGTTTTCTTTTTTCATGATGCCTTCATACTTCTGTTCATTTCGTACGATCAGGTCTTATATTGTTTATAGACAAGAGACAATAATCTCACAATATAGAATATTAAGACAGAGAAAATAAAACTCAAGGAGAGAGGTGTGTTTTCTTCTTTTCTTTTTAGATTAAACTGAGTACTAAAATTACAAACAGGTACGTAATAATTATAAAAGATATTTGAAGATTAATGAAGGCCTATTTCACGATTTTCTAATTGTTCAATGTTCACACTATTCAGCGTAAAAACGAGGGACCATGCAAGAACGTACTCTCAATCATGGACAATAACTGGTAACTGCTGATCGACGGCCGACTGGAGCATCTCCTGATCTGCCTCTAGTGCTAAGTCTGCTGACAGCTCGCGAGAGTGCTAGCAGTATTATCCGACTATACTATCTTAAATCCTTTCTAATTATGTTAACCACAGCAGTCACCGTGTCATGATTGTGTTCTGTAGCAAGCTTGTTGAGGAAGTAGTTTTGAATGGCTTTTTCCTAATTACGAAAGCATGAACCCATGTGGTAATACTGATCCTACCTTTTTCCGATCTTAAAGTAATATTTCTAAACTGGATTTCGGGCAATGCGGTAAATGTCTAAACCGTAATCACGCAAATGCCGTCACTTGTTTTTTGTGCTGAAACCATAGCTCTCGGGGCCTGGCCATAGCTGCGCTGACATATCAATTCTAGTGGGATTCTGGTCAACAAATCCTGAATGTACACAGCCAAACTAAAGTATAACCAGCCTCATTAATTTTAACGAAGGCCTGGTGTAAAGAACACCTTAATTGTCAGATTCCTCACGGTATCCTCAGTCTGCATTTACAGTCAAAACAAAGGTGTGCCTAGCGCATGCAGTACTCGATATCACGTACTTCTGTCCGAAAGGAATCACATTTCCCCATTCCCTCTGGCACTTCATAGTATATGTCAGCTGAGGTTCAATGTGTCAAACAGAGCACACGCTTTTTCCGGCTTTTGTTTCATCTTCCTAGAATCTTAGTGCCCTCTTCCCCTGGGTGTGAAGCGAAAGGTGATACTGTACTGTATTGACGCTTGAAGCGTCTGAAGCGGGGCTACTGAAAAGGCGATCGAGCTGAAAAAACCTCCTTCAATTTAGTAAGAAAAACTGACTTTTTACCGATGAAAGGCAGTCACGTTTGCATTGGTCTGTGAGATGCAAAGGGAAACCGCCAACCTCCCGAGAATCATATATGATTAATAATCACTGAATGCGTTGGTGTCTTCGACCTTCCTCGGCTTATGGTCACGGGAACACATATGTGACCGAAAAAAGGGGTGTGTTTATTTATCCAACAACGAATTAGAACTGAGCGGAGCGGATTTTAAATGACGAGGAATAAAATTTGATCTGCATATGAAAGGGTTGGGGATGCCAGTCGTCTCGCTTAGGGGTGTAAATTTCGGATTTTGGTCTCGCTTAGGGTGTTTTGGGCAAAACGCCTTCATATTTAGCCGTGAAGGTCTTGTTTAGGGTTGCACGCGAAAAAATACAAAAATATATATTTGATATGTATATTTTTTGGTCTCTTTTAGGGCTCCAAAAAAGCTTGGGCCACACCCAGATCGGTCTCTTTTAGGGGTTAAATTCAAAATTTTCGACGAGCATCCGCACCCCTTTCATATGCGGAGTCCACCCCCCGGGTCCACCAGTTAAACCACCAACTGAACCACCAATATCATTGACTATTGTTCTGCATGATGAAATTATGATGAAAGTATTTTACTCTGTACGTGACAGTGTTCAGCTAGTCATTAGCACTTCTTTCCAAAACCGAAGAAAATAAGTCTTGTAAAATTTACGTCGTAGTAGCACTTCAGTTAAATCCAACGTTTCGGAAGTTATATACTTTCGTATTTCCCGAGTTTCGTTTTAATATTGGGCTTACTAAAAGGCATTCTACCCTGCTGGTGCCTGATTCAGTTCACGAAGTTGGAGTGAATCGCCAATAACAAGCCGATATCGAAGAGATTATTTAGAAGTAAATCATTTGAAAGAGACTAGACTAATCGTAAATACATATTGTTCCCGCGCGGGTCATACTATCCTATGGAAATAACTGGGGTTGCTCCTCGTAC